TGTGTGTGTGTTTTGAGTGGGTCAATCTGGACTCTAAGACTGCCACAATAAAAAGGGATTAAGTAAAAGTCTTGTTTGTCACTTGGACATGGAACACAGCTGTCTGGTTTTGCAGAGTCTCCGCTTTCTTGCTGCAAAGACTAACTGTAAGCTTTCTGAGAATGCTAAATTCACAGGTCCTAATTACCTAGGTCTGACAACTAGCTAAAACCTCATACTGTCTGATATGGGCCGTTTCAGCCTCAGCACGAGCTCTGCTGAACTAAAAGCAGGAACAGGCTCAATGAGCAGAACTCTGACTCTGGGACTGCTGCAAATTTAGGACACCCCTCTGTGGGCTCTAAACTATGAAAAACATCAATAGATGCCAGCTGGGTTGTCTGGGTCACATCCAAATGTCCACAGGAAAGGACTTATTCTCTAATGGGACAGTCTAAAATTGAGCTGCTGATTGACTGTATTTCTGATGAAGTGGCTAATTGCAATTCTTAATTTGTGATTCCTGCCAAAAGCTACAAGTTGGGGCACATCAGAAGGAGTATGACCCCTCCACACCTATTCCTGACAGACTGGATTCTGGACTCCCTTTAGGGAAGGGATTCCCAAGCCCTGAGCTATAGACTGGTACCTGTCGATGGCCTGTTAGGAACCAGGCTGCACAGCAGGATGTGAGCAGCGGGCAAGAAAGCATTACTTTCTGAGTTCTGCCTCCTGACAGATCAGTGCAGCATCAGATTCTCATAGGAGCGCAAACCCCATTGTAAACTGCACACACAACGGATCTAGGCCGTGTGCTCATTATGCTTGATGATGTGAGGTGGAACAGTTTCATCCCAACTCCATCCCCACTCTGCTCGTACGAGGAAAAACTGTCTTCCACATAACTGGCCCCTAGTACCAAAAAGGTTGGGGAACGCTGCTCTAGTGGATGTCTCACTGTCTCACTGCTTTTGCCTTGTTTGGGTTTTCTGATTCATTGCAACTTACTACAATGGACTGATAAACCTGACTCTACTTCCCTTATCTTTCTCCTGGTACACATATCTTAGTGAGACAGTTTATTAAAGGAAGCTTTCCCCAAAAAGGATTGTTTTCCTAGGCTGCTCACTAGATAACTGGTCAGGAAAAAAGAGTGGGGAAGTTATGTAAATCCACTATGAAATTTTTGAAAACTCGGCGTTTGTCCTAACCAATTCCTACAAGTTGGGGCACATCAGGAGTATGACCCCTCCACACCTATTCCTGACAGACTGTCTGGAATGAAAACAAGAGATAGCTGGAAAACTATAAAGTTAAGATTGCTAAATGGGACACATTTTGTAACAACAGACACAAAACAAAAACCGGGCACCTAAGGAGGCATAGGAAATGATTTGTTTTTCAGAACTGTTTTTGGAAGTGTTCTTCTCTTCCTGAAGGAAAACTTCCCATGCTGCCTTTCTAAGTGTCTTCAGCACTTTGAACTCAAACTGACTGCTGAGCCTATGATTATACCTAACAGCCCTGATTACGAGACAGCAGAGGCTGGCCCAGCTTCTGCACTTTTTCCTTTTTTAAAAAAATTCTTTATGATTTATTTATTTTGACACAGTCTCGTTCTACAGCCCAGGCTGGGGTACAGTGGTGTAATCATAGCCCACTGAAACCCTGAACTCCTGGGCTCAAGCAATCTTCCCACCTTAGCCTCCTGAGTAGCTAGGACCATAGACTGGTATCACCATTCCTGGCTAATTTTTTTTGACACAGGAGTTTCACTCTTGTTGCCCAGGCTGGAGTGCAGTGGTACGATCTCTGCTCACTGCAACCTCCGCCTCCCAGGTTCAAGTGATTCTCCTGCCTCAGCCTCCTGAGTAGCTGGGACTACAGGCAACTGCCACCACACCGGGCTAATTTTTGTATTTTTAGTAGAAACAAGGTTTCACCATGTTGGCCACACTGGCCTCAAACTCCTGATCCCAGGTGATCCGCCTGCTTTGGCCTTCCAAAGTGCTGGGATCACAGGCATGATCCATGTTACCATGCCCGGCCTAATTTTTTAATTTTTAGTAGAAAAGAACTCCTGCCCTCAAGCAGTCCTCTGGTGCTAGCATCCCAAACTGCTGGGATTACAGGTGTGAGCATCCACATCCAGACCCTGCACTTTCACACAGAACATTCATATATGATTGTCATCCATACATGAAAGGCATATGAACTGGTATCATGGACAAGCTAATCTGTTTGGAAATGACTGTATTCAGACATTCTGAAAACCAAATACCAAACTGAATTAAATGAACTGGAAACCCTTATGTAGGAGACCCAATGGTGAGAATTCATAGTGGGAACTGCTGGACTAATACAGATGCTCCTCAACTTATGATGGGGTTATATTTGAATAAAGCTACTGTCAGTCAAAACTTAAGTCAAAATGCATTTAATACCCCTGTAAGCCAACTATAAAGTAAAAAAAACTGTAATTCAAATAATCATTAAATCAAGGACTATCTGCATATGTCCTGCTTGGAGTATCCTAACAATTGTGAAGTCTTGTTTTCAGGAGTACTATATTAGTCCATTTTCACATTGCTATAAATACCTGAGACTGGGCAGTTTATAAAGAAAAGAGGTTAAATCCGTTCCAGGTTCTGCAGGCTGTACAGGAAGCATGATGATGGCATCTGCTCTGCTTCTGGAGAGGGCTCAGGAAACTTACAATCATGGCTGAAGGGAAAGGAGGAGCAGACACTTCACATGGTGGGAGGAGAGGCAAGAGCAAGAGCAAGGTGGGAGGTGCTACACACTTTTACACAACCAGATCTCACAAAAATTCACTATCACAGCAAGGAGATGGTGCTAAACCATTCATGAGAAATTCACCCCCACGATCCAATCACCTCCCAACAGGTCCAACTTCAACATTACGGATTACAATTCAACAAGAGATTTGGTGGGGACACAGATACAAACCATATCAGGTACTATTAGTGTCCTCTGGAAATGCACTCCTTTCATGTGTACCCTGATTATCAGGACACTGCTGAAAAGCCTCAAGAGCTTACATGATTCAACTTAGCCAGGTATGTGCTGTCCAAATTGATGCTTCAGGCCAAATAAAAATGAAACTAAAATGCAGAAACGGAAGGAGGAAACCACCTTGCTTTCTATGATAGACTTTTATAATCAATGAACTTTGTTTTAACTATTCAAATTCCGGACCTCTAAAGGGCTTAGCTGTCAAGGTACCTTGGCCAAATGCCAAGGGAGTGGACTGTACAGAAAAGACTTAATATATCAGGCTTGAAGACGGCCATCCTTAGAAAGGCCTGCTTGTAAGACTGGCCCATGATTGGTATCTGGAAACTTGGATTCCTCTCCAAGGGAATAAACTTTTGACCTTTTAAGGTTTCCATAGTGGAGACAGGAATTTTTAAGGTTTTACAAGTAAAGATGTGGTCAGTATAAACATAGTGTCTGTGTCTGTCACAGATGCCACTTCTACCTATTAAATTAGTAAATGAGTTCGGAAACACAAATTGAAACCATTACTCATTGCTGGTGGAGGTATAATTTGGAACAATTGTTCTGTAGAATAATTTATAGTATTTGTTCATGTTGAAGATAAATATATCTTGGGCTTAGAATCCTAATTCTACATATGTTCACCTCTACATATTACCTAATATATGTATTTTCTGTATCTAAATGCGATGTAATGAGACCAACTTTTAACAAGCTTAAAATATCAGTTTGCATCTATGTACTAAGCGTAGTTTTGCAAAACTTTTAATTATATACAGATGAAGATATATCACACACAAAGACATATGGCATGTATATGTGTATATAAGGTTATGAAATAAAATTACTTTTTACTGTGGGTTATAATTTTGAAAAATTAATAGATATTATCCTAGGATAACTCCTATAACAGGTATACAAAGAGACATGTACACTGATGTTTATTTTGGCATTACTTAAAATAGCAGGGGTTAGGCAGCCAGCAAGGGCTACTGTAGGATGAAACTGACTTCGTGGTTTCATTGTGTATCCCAAGTGTCAAAATCTTTAGGTCTATTCCTTTAGGCTAAGTGGAGGAAAGAAGCTGAGGGAGGTCTTGCCATTTAGTTTGTGCACTTCTACTTAATCCCGTTAGAGCTGGGTGCATCACCCCCAGCTCTATGTTCCTGTCCTTCTGGCACACTTTTTCCAGGTTAATATACTTCCTGTCTTCTTCCTGCCATTTGGGGTTGAATTAATTTTTATTGTGTGGGTCCATCCCTCACATTTTGCAATGTTAATCATCCTTGACCTCTGCCAATTAAATATCTGCAGTGTTTTCCAGACATTGTTACAATTTTTCAAAAGCGCAAGTATTTTCAGATACTCTCCTGAGTTGGTGATGGGCAGCAC